ATTCCATTTATTTTTTAAGTCACAGCCTTAAATCTGGTAACAAACTTTTTTAAATGGCCGTCTGTTGGTGGAGCACCAAACACAGCACATGTATTATGGTTCTCCACACTCTGCTATTTAAAAATATTGATCAGTTTGTCACATAGTTCCTGACCAATAAAGCCACATAATTGGAAGTGATGTTTCACACCATGTCTGCATCTGCGAGCATTAAAGTCATCAACATGAGCCCTGCAGAGCCAGCCAGCTAATCAGACTGAACTGCCACTTTGTTTGACTTCATTGATTACACATGATATGACTCACAAATCAGACTCAATGCGAGTGGTGATTTGGAGGTGTGGAACCGTGCAGCAGCACAATTACAGTTCACTAAAACATTACCCAACCTCCTCAATAGCTCATTTGAAGAAACAGCAGGCTTCCAAACAATCTTCCACAACACCACCAGAGGGCAACAATGTGCCAAATGATTGCGGCTTGCAAACGGTGCATTCAAAAACACACAAGTACCTTGATAACTACATGTTTGACATTTGACCTCTCCTTTCTGTCACATGCAGGCTGGCTTGTTGTGATCAGAGAGAGAGATTTCCTCCAGCAGGTGTGAACAAGTTGAATAAAATAGAGCCAAAGGTCAGAGAAATCATTTGAGGAATCCATCTGCACTGCAGCTCCTGATTGTGAATAAAGATTTACAAGATGTCTGTCACATACAGAGCACTCTCACCACCTCTCTCTGTTTGCCTGCACGCCTTGGCTCCTCCATATCTCGCTTGTCTCTGGGCCGTGTCTCAGAGTAGCATCATAAATGTGTGAATGGATTTGCTTACTGGCATCAGCAGGGGCTGACTTCACACACTTCGGAGGGCCCTGCACAGTTTGCCGTGAGTGAGAGGTGTTAGTGACCTTGGGACAGACAAGGACAATCACAATCACAGGTAGCAGCAAAGCCTTTAAATCCTGCTGGATTGATCAAGGAGCCCGGTGAGACGTAAAATACACTCATCCAGATGAGAATCTGAGGTGATGCTGCCCGGCAGCTCAGGGGGACTTTGAGGATAAGCTGGCCTGTGATAGTTCAGGGCATCAGATTATCATGTTAAACTATTTGAGAGGATAAAACCAACATTAAGGAAATGAAAATCGCTGCCACGTCAAACGATCTCTAGAACAAATTTACTCGATTCTGTCTTGTTCTGAGAACTTGACTTGATTTTGAGAGACAGGGCTCATCTGCCAGCAGTTGGTCCTCCACTCACTCCACGGCTCTTAGATCAACATTATTACAGACTTCTGTGCAGGTTTCCTTGACTCTCAAACTTTCTGAGATGCCTCACAGTCTATGACTAACTGAAGGCTGCACCTGTCTGCCTCATTTTTCATGCCTCTTTTCCTGCTCCACTTCTCTGAAGATGATGGATGCTCTTGACATCTACGGGGACAGCTGGTCATTAGGCTGGATGTGAAGAGAAACTTGCTGCATGACTGTGTTGAGGGGGTTGCAGAGAGGCAGAAAAGAGGAATACATTGGAAGAGTAAGAGGCAGGGGAGGGAGTCTGAACGCGTTTGTTGGCTGACATTACAGAGTCACATTGTAATGCAGCAGATAATAGCCTGCAGGTCAGACTGGGGGCCCGGGGAGCAGCCGGCACCTGCTGCCATTCATTCAAGGTGACAATAAGCCGATGTCACCAAGTCCTAGTTGTGGCTGCGGTGTGTTGAGCCTCTGGGTGTGTGTGTGTGGGTGTGTGTGTCAGAGAGGTTTTCTAACAATCTGTGCTGCGTCAACACTAGAGTTGCTCACATGAATCAGGTAAAATGGAATACAGAAAAAAAAAAAGCCTGGGACATAATATGAAAGCGCCTGCTGCCTGCAACATAACCACCCCGCATCTAAACTGATCACCTCGACCAATCACTCTGCATGCCATCCATTACAGAACAACGAGACCACCACTACATTCACAGCATGAGGCAGGGCAGCCTTTGTTCTATAGCACACCTGGGACTGTGCCTGAAATTTATAGCCCCTTCCAGACACTGTGTTTTCACCTTGCAGTTGAAAGGCAAAGACAGAGCTTCTGGTTTAAAAGCGGTCTCCAGCTGGCTACAAACACCAGAGATAGAGGTCGATGCTCTCTATCGCTGCCTCCGCTGAGCAGTCTACCCTTCAAACGTTCAGACAGCCATGAGAACCCCCCAGAGACCATCAGTTCCTGTTCTGTATCCAGCTCTCAGTGCTGCTGCCCTGCCCACAAACACAGTAACACACACACACCCACCCACACACACACACACACATCAAGCATTTAATTCATACCAGCGTTCGCTCTCCAGCTTCAGTAGGGTGGCAGCTGCCTTTGCACCCGAGCGTCAGGAGGTGAAAAACATCTGAGAGGAAAAGAAAAAAGGAAGTCACAAAGTTCACTGTCAAAACAACTTCAAGTGTTTTCAGGAATTAATTGAAGGCGGCTGGATCTCGGTGTCAACAATTGAATCACATCCCATCTTTACTGGGTTTTGTCTTCTTTAAAACTGCAGCGTCTGAAGTCTCATCACAACCAACACGCAGAGCGACAAATAAACACAGAAACCATACCAAACACCATACATTACAATAGCCCCCCCGGTAAACAAAGAGTTTAATGAAACCCATATACCCGATACTTTCCCCTTTGACACATAATATAATTTAGCAGTGGTTGCAACAGACATGGCAGCAATTCAGGTTGAAAGTATTACATAAATAATTCTTCTCACAAGTCATAACAACATACTGAATTAACTACGACTAACACGGGCACAAGCAGAATAACCAACGCAATGTTTCCTTGATGCTACAACAGAAATTCTCTATAAATTAACACAACACCTCTCTGAAGGTTAAATAAAATGTGTAAGATTCAAAAAGAATCATTTATCTTCTGTATCTTATAGGTTTTTTTATAGGTAGTCAGGTCTACCTTAAATTATTTCAGTGGGACTGGATTGAATAAAGGTCATCATCATATTTTAAGAATATTATACTGCTAGAAAAATTTTGTCATACTACAAACACTCATTTTGAGACTACCAAAGAGTTCTTAAAAGGGTTATTTATTGCACTTAAAGGCAATGCGTACATTTGGGGGCCAACTCACAAGAATAAAAAAGACAAATCAAATTCACACAGAAATGCAGCCGAGGCCGAGATGTCCCTTTAGTCCCTAGTATGGGCCTGACTCCTACGACACAGGACCCTTCACTTGCCATAATGCAACTCAGCAGTGTCTTTTCATTAAACTTTAGACACCCAAGGCTTTCAAACACAACAGTACCAGTAAAGCAGGTTTTGTGTTTTAAATGTGTATTCTTCAAAACCGAGACAGAGACAACCCTTGATGATGGGTTATCCTCTAATACGTGACAAAGCTCCTCCAGAGCCGCAGAAAACATTATAAAAGTGTTTTCACAGGGTGGTAACTCCTCATGACTACTGAACTGACCTTTATGTATAAAATCCCCATTTCGACCTTCCTTGATAACAATAACAGCTCTCCACAATGTTATTCAGCCTCTCTCACATTCATCCTGAAATGTAAAATTTGCATCTAAAAGACATAAATAGAAAAAAACTTGCACAGAAGAAAGTGATGCAAGAGGAAACAAAAAAGGCCAAAATTAGCTTATCTCTACCCATGATCTGTTCTGCTCCACCATAAACGAGCACTTAGCCAGCAGCAGCAGCTCATCTACAAGCGTGGGAGAGCGGGTGCTGATTGTTGGACGAGTACTAGTTCAGTCATTTTCAAGAGGCTTGTGGGGCTCTCCACAGTAACCTGCCACCTACTCCCATAAACACAGCTCACCCTCAGCAGTGAACAGGGAGACTAAGTGTGTAGATGGACCGAAGAGGTACGACTGCGTGGGAAGCAGAGAAATTACACTCAACATCCTCTGCTGATGCCAATCATAAGAGAGCCACATGACAGCAGCTTCCGCCTCACCTGCAGAGAGAGGCAGTGGGATGATGAGCTCTGTGGTAACACTCATTTTCTGCTTGGATGAACTCAGGTCAAACAACTGATAATCACATGCTTAAAGTCAGAAATAGCACCGGTTCATCCCCCCCACCTGTCACATGTGAAGTGGCAACACAGACTTCAGACAGTTCAGTGGATTCATGTTTACTGGAAGACAGAAAAATAGACAATTTTTTTGGATAGGACTAAAAAGCTAGAGTTTGGTCTGAAGGTGGCACCAAAAGAAAGTCTGACAACAACCTCTTGTGAAAATATGTTTTTATTGTAGTGTTATAGGACACTTTATAAAGAACAATATACATATAGGAGCCATCGTAACTTCATCCTTTTGGGAGGAACCTTTTTAACCAGAGTGCTGCACAGATAGATGAGCTTTGTAAAATACTGAATAAGGATTAAAAAAAAAAGTTGCTGTCCATGTATAACATTTAGATTAATGAAAAGGTAAATCATTTTTAAAAACAAATCACTCAATTTTAGTGTAATTTTCTTGGGAGGCAGGTCATCACACTAAGAATATGATAGTACTGCACAAATGTGAATGAGGTCTGAGAAGATTTGTGTACATGAAAAGTGACTGTCCTCTGAGAAACTCCTGTGCTCATGTTACACCTCATAGCACACATTGCTGCTTTCGGGGGCCATCTGCTTTGACTCTTCCTTTGTCACATGACCCGTCTGGACAGAACAGCAAGAGGAGATATGACTACAAAAACAAATTGCTTAAGCCACAAGTATGAGCATTACACTCCCCAGTGGTTCAGTAAATCAGCCACTTGTGCTCAAGTCAAATATATATATATAGTTTAAAGCAAGTTCACCAAAAACCTGATTGAGATTTGACTTTAGAGAGTTGCTTTATGAGGGTGTGTGCATGTCGCTGAATTAAAAGATTCATGTTTACTTAATCAAGTCTGAATACTTGTGGCAGTGATCATATGCAGCTATAAATGCAGAATCACCACACAAAGCCTGAACCCTTGATACACTTTAATGATAGTTGCACAATTATTAAACTACTTTCAGATGACTTCCACCTGGTACATGAAGCTGTAATCACTTTAGTTGAAGCTGTAAAGATATTAGAGCAACCTAAACAGGCACCAGGTTGACACCTGAGCAGCACCAAATGAATGGTTTTAAATTAACGATATCACAGTTACCAGCCTCACTAAGACCTTAGCACAACGTATTGATGCATTTTACAGAAGTCACTTCCAACCTTTGTTTCAGCTCAGTTGTTGAATACCAATATTGTTGCTGCCATCTAGTGGGAGGCCACAGCAATGTCGAGGCAAAGGACAAGTTTTTATTGAATTAATATATAAACATACAAAAGCACATCATTGTAAATATGACACATTAAACAGCAGGGCAAGAGACTTCAGATGGAGTGGGGAGCTCAACATCCTATAAACACAGAAGGCAAGTCAGTGGCATCATTCTGAACGACACATTATCCACACTTTCTCCATGGATCTTACCGTTTTCACATCTTCAATAATGATCACGCCTTTCTCCTGAACCTCAATGTCACTTTCCGTGTCGTTGTGCGAGCGGTACTCGTCACTCTCTGTCTCTACAGTACTGGGCTGAGAAATGGTCAGAATTAAGAGAACGTCTCAGCAAACGTCATGTTTAAGGCTTTTAAAGTTAAACAGTTATGCATTATTGCAGTTGGCAGAGTAAGAAAAAGATGAAAGAGCAAACAATACAATGTTCACTAGAAACGTGTTAATGAAACAGAATACTGATTTATACTTTAGACCAAAATAAAGTCATGCACTTTAGTAAATCCTGATAGCTTTCATTTCTGATCAGAAGACATCCTGACCGTCCTCGTGCATTGCCAAACAAACTTACATTATAGTGTTAAACTGAAGAGACTAGAGTAGACAGCACCAACCTCATAGTCAGGATCCTCCTCAGGGGCATCGTCATCAGCAAGCTCCTGAGTGAGCGCCTCCACCCAGGTCTGATGCTCTTCTTCCTCCTCATCGTCCAACTCATCCTGCTTTCTCTTGCTGCCCTTTCCACAAGGCTTAGTAGGAGAGACTCTGACTTCTGTTGGGAAACAAAGTCACTCTTTAAAGATGTGCTGCCTTTGGAGTGTTTAGCCTAGTAAATTTTGGCTTTTACACCTGTGGGCAGCAATTAGCCTCAACTTCACTATCCCAAGTAGAGCTGCTAATGAGCATCATTTTCAAAACAACCTTTAAATTAAAGCAATTAATCTTTTAAACAGTATAAAAGAAATAAAGTGATTTTCTCTCCATTTTCCTAAAGCCAGAGGCAAAAACTCAAAATGGCTTTTTAAATCCACAAACAGGTTTAAATGATTCAGAAGGTGCCAATTCATATCGGAATTAAAGCAGGCTTTGATTTAGTGTTGCACTAGGATAAACAAAGCTGCAAAATAAAACGCTCATGAGTGGGCAACTACACATGTGCTTCAGAAAACGGCTGAACGCAAACACCGTCTGGTCCCCTGTCTTAGTGAGGGCCCAGGTGAAGACATATCCACCAGCCCTCCAGCTACCACACCTGGGGAGAGGGAGCGCCCAATGCTGCTGGACACCGGGTAGCCCAGGCCGCCCTGCACCCAGCGGGGCAGGATGGACAGCAGCAGGCGGGTCACTCTGCGCAGGCGCTTGCGGCCGGCGAGGCTCTGGCGTCCAGGACTGGAAACCTCGGGGGGGCTGACCAGGGTTGTCTCCTGCGGCTGCCGGAAGCCCAGCACCCACCAAAACCCCCGGTACGCACGCACCTGGAGGTGAGAGCAAAGTTAGGTAGCGTGTAAAGCCAAATCGTTTATAAAAAAAAACAAAACAAAACAAAACAAAACCATTTGCTGCTCGTACCACGATGCCGAAAGGCCAGAAGAGGCCGCGGAGCATCGACCGAAACACACCGTCTCTCCTCACCGCTGACACCTGAACCACAGACAGCACAGGTGAAACCTACCACAACTACTATTTACATAACGTTATGTGTCATACGAGAAACTGGGACAGATCACCCAGTCAGCCACCATTACCTCAGTGTTTTGGGTCTGCTCCTGCTCGCTGAGGATTTCTGGAGTCATCCTGTTTCTGGTAAAAACCTGGTGGACCTGCCGGCCTGCAACAAAGAGGAGGGGGGGAAAGGCTGGAGGGCTACAGTAGAGGCAGGGTTTGGAGGGTAAAATGTACCCTGATGTTGCAACTGTGCAGCCAATCAACAGGGACAAATGCACGTGGCGCAATCAGAGCGGACCAATGGACAAATCCCGCCAATTAACCCGCCAACAGGCCGACAAAGCGTGGTCACATGACCGGTGTGGACGCTGCAGCTGTGAGGAGACCAAAATATAACACACCTTTAAAACTGCATGTTTAAAATGATCCGTGCTATCTCTGTAACAGATAACAGGCTACAAAGAGTAACACTATTAAGAGATAGTGATGATTTAGAAAATGATCCAGAATCCAAACAGAGCAGAATTTTTAAAACAAAACATGTTGTTAAAACATGACAAAAAGTCATTTTGATAACATATTTGGAATTATATTTATCCATGTTGTATGAATTCATTTAATTTTAAAGTTAACTTGCAAAATTACGACAAATGTTAGCTCTAGATATTCATGAATCCATGACTAAGTTTCAATGTAAACACTGAGAAGAAATGCTAGTAAAGACTTTTGGGATGTGGTAATCGGTTGCTAGGAAACGTCTGTAGTGCTGTCCAAACAGGAAGTAAGTGTAGCAGCACAGACCAGCAAAACGAGAATGAGCCACAAACAAAACACTTTCTTTTTTGTAAATGTTGGTGTTACTTTGTTTTATTTATCTCTGCATACATGAAGAAATATGTGTTAGTAATATTCAAACAGGAAACATCTAATTATTCTAACCTAACTGACGTGGGCATAATGTTTCGTAATTTGAGGTATATTAAAGTATATTTATGAAGGTAAATGAATGCTATCTATGTCTGAGTCAAAAGATATTCAGTATAGCATATACTGAATATCTTTTGACTCAGACAAACAAACAAGACATCATCTTGGGCTTTAGGAAGGTGAGATGGGCATTAAACACCATTTATGGACGTTTTTTAGACTAAACAACTAATTGATTAATTATTTTTAAAAATTCAGCAGGTTAATCCCTAATGAAGATAGTCAACAGTTGCAGCCCAACTGCACACAGAAGAGCAGCCTGAAACCATTTAACCATGGAAAGGGAACTGATTAGTTCCCAAACACATGTCACGTCCAAACGTTTTGAGAGGAAGGGAGATGCTGCATCTCTATCTGCTTAGCATATGAAGAGGTTTATTGTGCTTCCATACTTGATACAAGCTCCCTTAATTGGTAACCGTTTCCGCCTCTGGCTTTCGTCACATTTACGCATCTGTTGATGCATTTGGCAGATAACATAATGTAGTGGAAAAGTATAAAAGCCGCCTGTCACCTCTCCTCTTGCCAATCTACAACCCAAGCCTGTGTGCAAAGACAGTGGAGGACATTCAGTGATGGATAAGAACTCAGTCACACGGACGTTCAGTATTGGAGCCATTTGCAGTGGAACCAAAACTTCTGATGATTTCTACGCAGCTCGCAGGCACAGCAGCGCAGGCATCCGCGCGCTCTTGTGGGCTACAAGCAGTGCCAAGTCCCTCGGGTGTTCTCTAGGATCGGACTCCCAGACGAGCCGAGAGAACATTTTTCCGAATATCCTGACACCTGACAGCATCCCACAGTTCACTATACCGAGTCTGTCTGTGCAGAACAGCTTAAGATCACTGGACAAAGAGACAGAGGAGGATTACGCAGAGTCAGAAGAAGGCTTAGGGAGTGAGCCGGAGTCATGTGCTTCTCTGGCCTGCTCCTCCACGCTCTCGTCATCCACATCATCATCAGGCTTCAGTTTGGTTCTGTCAGACCGCAGGGCCGAGCGGAGCGTCTCAGACCCCTTCACCAAGAAGAAATCTCTTCTTCAGAGGGAAGTGTCCTATCCCCGCTCCCACACCGAGGCCCAGCACTGCCTGGATCCTGCCAGCAGTGCCGCCCTCTCCCTGCCACACCTAACCAAAGTCACCACCCCGTACGGCTTCATCACCCTGAGCCAGAGTCCACAGATGGCGAGCGAGGAGGCTCTTCTCTGTCAAGCTGGCCTACGGCGCTTAAACAAAGATGAGGAGACTGCGTGCTGTCTTGGCAAAGCTCCAGGGACGAGGACAGTGGACAACAAAGGCAACTCCTCTCACCTGTTAAGAGACCAGAAGAAACTGTGTAAAGACTCAACTGACTTGCAGAATAAAGAATTGGTAAAGGACGAGATAAAAGCTTCTTTTGCCTCCTCCGTCAACGCTACGGTTGCTTCTACATCCAGACACCCAGACGGCAAGCGTAAACGACGCTTCTACGATGTTATAAAGAAACACTTCACCTCCCGCCATTAAGAATGTAATCATGGGACTGATTTGCAATATTATTTATATTAATATATATATATATATATTAACAACAACAACGTGACTTGATTTAAGTTGTGCATTTATTCATGTTTCATTCTTCTTATGAAACACCCTTTTTGTTTTGTGTCAAAAAAAATGTCAGTACGATAAAGCTGTGAAACTCATGAAAAATGTACCATTTGTTGTCACTTAAACAAATAAACCAACGCCTGCTGCATTACTGTGTGTTCTGAGTCTTTCACAGTTCCTGTTTCTCGGGAACAGGGTCACCTTTAAAGTTCTCATAACAGAGTGAATACTGCACATCGGCCGTGTGTTTAAGGTTAATGAATTCCTCCAACGCTCTCATGATCTTAAATGTCACTCCCTCTCAAGCTATCCACTCCTATTCAACCCCTCGTTGAATATGTCTGTATAGTTCCCAGAGAAAGCCTGAACTGCGTCTCCTGCAGCAGTGAATGTTTGCTGATGCTTCCCTCAGGCCAAGAAACCAAGCAGTTCTCCTTCCTCCTTAGCATATGAAGAGCTTCAGTGGAGAGGCCCTTAATGATGGTCGACTAATGCATCCTTGTAGCCTGTTGTTCTCAACTCTCCCACACACTGATATTTAGTGGGTAAATATCATTATGACGCAGAAGTCTCTGCTCTAAGTGGAGGGCAAGGAGAATACAAGAGTGAGTCCCTGAACACAAGAATAGATTAAGGTCATCTAAATTTATAATCATTCACCATTTTGTTTGTTTATGTGCATTATGTAAGTGATTTTATGTTAATGCTTTAAGGAAATGGACTTCTGCTTTTCATTTAAAATACGTATTATATGTACGAGATGAAGCAGTTTACATATTATTTTTATGTATTAATCATTTTTTATTGCCAATTTGTGAACGAGTTGTAATGCAGCTTAAACAACGACTTTCTCAGTTGCCTGTGGATTGATTTCTATGTGTTTCTATGTAGGGATGCGGGTCGAATTTTATGCAAAAATTGAAAGTATGTGGCATTTATACTCTCTCTTCGCTTCCCTACAGTGTCAACAGTGTGCAACACTAGCTAACGTTAGCTTAGAAAAGATGTCCGGTTACCTACAGCCAACATCCAGCACAAAGTCCAAAGTCCGAGCTAACAATACTGCAAAGGAAGTGAAATGTTAGTTTGCTTTACTAACGCGGATGAATTGCTAACGTGGCCAATGTCAGCTAGCTTCATCCAGACACATGGAGCGTTGCGGGATTGGCTAGCGCCGGATAAAGTTACGCAGTGTGGCTGGGTTGCAGGTGAGTAGCTAATTTTAGCTGCTTGCTCGCTAATGTTATTTCTAGCAAAATAGTGGACATCTTAGTTGGCTAATGTTAACTTGCATATTTACTTAACCAATTAACAAAAAATAACAAGTAAGATAAAGGTACAAAGCTAACAACACTAACGGTAGCCTGTAAACTACGCTGGGGTTGGCTGATTTGTAAACATCAGGCTAGTTAATAGCATAAAATATAGTAACATTGCAGATAGTAATGAGATGTGATAAAAGTAAAGTAATAAAGATTGTAATTTATTTTTCAGCATTCAGTCCAGTGTATGTCACTTTCGGGCCAATGCTCTTTGGATGATGCTAACTGTGTACAGAGAGTACAGAGAGCAACAGGATGCTGACTGCAGTTCACTTCACGGCCACTGGTGTCACTAATAACAACAATTTTCTGAAAGTTACCTCCTTTAATTTAACAATTCAGTCAATTAAAAGTATTTTTCTTAGTTTAAAAAGTAGGAGTGCCCTATTGGAGATACGGTTGATCGTTGATGTAGAACTCACAAACAGCAAGCATCAGTTAATGTTCATTAAAGTTAAGAAAGTTACATAACTTCTCTCCAATGCTTTATCCACAAATTCAGAAACAATTCTCAACACCAAAACAACTGCATAATCCAAGATGATACAGTTGAATCAACATTAACATGATTACCTTGAAGAAGATAGGATTTATTCCAGGGCTGTTGTATTAGACTGCATTGGTTTCAGCTTGGTTTCACCTAATAAACTGACAACTGAGTGTGTATTTCTGTGGATTAATTGATGGTCTGTCTATAAAAAAACTGAAATAACCTCATCTACCACTGGTTCCTAATCATTTTCTGTCAAAGCCGTCTTCTGGAACCAAAAAACCTGCCCCTCTCCTGATATATTGATAAAGAACTAACTCAAAAGCAATGCTAGTCATCTTCATATTTTGGGTTTGACACAGCCAACGTCACTTTTTCTTTTCTCTGTCCATTGTGTGCATGAACCAGATTTACCTTTACTGCAGCAGACATTGATTACGTCACTGAACACCACACGCAGATTGACTATAACAAAGCTCCTCTTCAGCTACTTACAAGGCTGTTTTACATTTCACATTGCCAGTCACAACATGATGCATGCATTGTCATTATGTTTCTCAATGAGATTGTTTGCTGTTATGGTCTAAATATAACAGAACTGATACTAAAAACCGTTTGAGAGACAACAGCCCTTTGCACTAGTGAGTCATTCTGGGATGGGAGTACTTAAGCAGCACATGCTCAGCCTCAAGAATACACTCTAGGTAGCACGACAACACAAATAAGGGCTGCACCAAGATACTAGAATATAATATCATACACGTATGTGTGTGTGTGGGACATCACAGAGGTGTGTTAAAAATCTTCCCTGACATTCATTGTCCACAGAGGATGAATCCTTATGTTTTTCTTTTTGTAACCTTTGTGATCCTCTGACTTTCCCTCTAGTGTCATCATCAGGTCAAAACCAAAAACTAATGACATCAGCATCAGCTTTACTTTGTATTTCATGCCCTCAGGCCTTCTCTGATCAACAGTCATAGTAACACTGTCACTAACATGTTATATAGGCTACACCCTTGCTACACGTCTGATGGTGAATAGATAATCATGTTCCACCAGTAGGGTGAGAGAAAACAAAACAAAGAGCTACAGCCATTCAAATTACTTCAAACAAAATGCCAAGAAGCAGCAGAATTAGTTAGCATGCTAACATATGCTAACTAATTAATATGTCCAAACTTTCCCGGTTGTGCAAGATATAGACATAGTGAACATTGCTTACTATATCTGCTTAAATATTTCATCTTTCCTTTAAAGTCAGTAAAACCTAAAAAAAAAAAATAAACTCCTTCATGCCAGCACCAAGCATTGCATGTGTGGAGGCTCAAACTGCATCATCTGAAAGAGAAAGGTTCATGCTGAGGCTTCACATGGCGAATGTAGATCAACTGCATCTGAGAGAAAGAAACAAGAGTGCAAATGGAAGGTGGGCACTGCTGTAACTGCTCTTCCCCATTCTGTCGAGTTGAGGTTAGCTGAGAGAACAGTTTTGCCCTCAAAACAGACGCTACTTTCCGGTACCAACCTCAAGCTCAGACGATTAGTGCAAAGATAACGAGAGCAGAAAATTCAGTCTAATATGCATCTACACAGACGAAGTGAAAGAGGCAGAGAAAAAGTGACAGAGGGAGTAACTGATAAGGGAAGTCTCTCAGAGGCACAGAGTTAGCCACCTGTAAGCTTCATACACACTGTTATTCAGTGGCAGTGAAGTGAAGTGTGAGAGAGGTGGAGGAGCAGGTTAGTTGGTGTAACTTGGTAGAATTCCTGATGGCTTCAGGTCCTGGCAGCAGGGTGGAGGACCATCCACCAGCGCTGCCTGTCAAACAGCACAGGTAAGACAAACCAAATATTTTTGACTCCTTATTAGAAGTAAATGCTTATGTTACAGATTATCTTATTGTGTTTCCATTTAGATCTCATTCATAATCACACAATCCTTATTAAAAGATCCTAATATAATAGGATGAAAGTGGATTGCACAGATATTTCATATAAATATCTGGTGATCCTGCAGTGCACTTAGATGTGAAATACTCAACAAAAAACACATACAAACTAATCTCTTTCAAACTTGTGAATAGTTGTGGTTTGTTTACGCACTCTGCATATATTCATGGTAGAAAGGCAAACGTTTTTGTTATTCTTTGCCTCTTTTTACACAGGAGTAATTCCTTCAGACTCTCCAGTGAGGAGTCTGACTGTGTTATGCTCAGCCCTGTTGGACTCCAGTATCAAAACTACGCATGCAACGATGTGTTCCCTGAACCCACCGATTGTCATGCAGCCCAGTGCCCCATACACCAGCGCTACGGTAGGTTTACAGAATGATGAAGTGAGTTCAAGTGGGGGAAACTAGCCTCACGTACCAAATGCCATCGTAAAAACAACTCCACAGCGCATATATGCGCAGTCAGTGTGATGGAAAAAGACAAAACAGAGTGTAGTGTGTGGTTCATTCTTCTCAGTTCATCTTTTCATGAGAACTGAAGAGAGGAAGTAACAGCCTGAAACTTTTACTTTCAGTAACACGCATGAAATATTCATACGGCTTACAATGACTTGACAAGCAGCTTTCTGCCACTGTGGATGCGGACTCCCTGGTGTGTCCTAACTGTTGTATGTCCAGTGCTCGTGCTCACTGTCCAACTCTGACCTAAATCTCTCTCACTGTGTTGCTCAGACTCCTCCCGACACCAAGTGAGATTTTTCTCAGATGGCACCCCGCCGCCTGTTCCAAAGAAGAGATTAACTCGCACCCTCTCCCTCCCCGGCACCAATGCAGCCCCACTCTTTCCTCTGTCTCCACTGCAAAGACAACCTCAAAACTTTGACAACCCACTGTACATGCTGGCACCCATATCCAGCACCTATTTCGAGGAGACAGAAGAGGTTAAACCATTCAGAGGGAGTCTTGTCCCCTCACTATCCTTCTCCCAGCTGTCCTTTGACACTCCCGATGAACATCTGCCCTACCTCTTCAGCAGCTTTGACGACCAGAGGGTTGTCTTCCAAGGGATTCAGCATCGCCATCTACTCTTTCTGAGAAGTATGGCACAGAGCGTGGAGGCTGAGATCCTGCTGCATGGAGGAGAGGCCACGGAGAGGGACGTCAGCTCATACCAGCCTCAGGATTTCCTGATGAGTGAGGGCAGTGCGCCAAAACAGATCGGAAACATGGTTTACTACAGCCTGCACAGCCCCAAGCTCCCAGGGAGGGTGCTGGGTTTAAGGGTAACATCACAGCTTCCAGTCACTCCACATGTTCTGTATGATAATGCATGATATTAAAATCTGTATATGTCTGTTGTTGCACATTGCTCACTTGCAGTCACATTACAATTGAAATTGTGTGCAAAGAAAGGTATTCATATTGCACAGAGCAACAAGTAATACAAAGATGATCCTTATCAACACTGGCAATTGTGGCATTGACTTGCGGTGCTAGAGACACTTCCTCTAAACTGTCATCAGGTGTCACAACTGCAACAGGAAGGCCAGACATTACATACTCTGCATAGTAAGGGTTTCTTGATGAATATGGTTTATTCTGTTTTCCGTCTTTCTGTGCAGGTACACAAACAGACTGATGAAGCCTCCTCGGGTCACACCACTCACCAGCCGTCGCATGTAAATGTGCAAGATGCCATTGCTCATTTCCACCCGAGCCACACCCCGAGGACTGATTCAAGCATATTACAAACTCAAGACCCCTCTTGTCCTTTCAAGTCAGACTGCAGTGCTGTTAAACCACCAGGCGGAGGCAGCACTGACTGGGCTCTTTCTTGTATGAACATTAATCTGCCCTCAGTTGAGTCTTTCCTCCAGAGAGGGCACTCAGTGAGTGTTGAGAGAGACCTGCCATACGCCACTCTAGACGACTTTGTTCAGGAAAGCCGCTCGCTGCAGAGCACAGATAGTTTGGATTATGACAAACAGGTGTGTGTTCTGTTGCTGCAGATATTAACGGGCTCGCAACATCTGTACATCAGCGCCTCTGCAGCTGAGCTCAGACCTCGGGAGATCTTCTTAGTGTGGCCCAATAGAGAGAAGGAAGAGGGAGATAACGAGATAGAACAGGATGCTTCTGAAATGAAGTCCAGTAGACTGAAAGAAGAAATGGAGTTGGAAAAGACAGAGAGGAAAGGAAAGATCCAGACGTTATGGAAGACACACGGTTCCCCTCGTGTAGTGTTAACCCCGGCATCATCTGCATTTTCAGCACCTCACCCCCTCACCCACATCAAATCCCATATTGGAGCCCTAATCCAATACTGCCTCGACCCACGCGAGAATCTGACATCTCTGGGTCCGGTTCCGACTCAGTCCTCATACCGAAGGGGGCTCCTTTATCTAGCCTCTCTGCTCCAGAGTGAGAGCAGTGGGCCCCAGATGGCAGACATGGTGGCCACGCTTCAGGTTCTCCTCTGGGGGCCTCGCGCCCCACTCTTCAATCACAGAGGGCCTATGACCACAGCTGTACACAACTGGCTGACAATCAAGCGAGCCCTGCTGGTGATGAAGTTGGCAGAGAGAGGGCTGATCCAAGATCAGTCTGCTCTGGATTGGGAGGACTGTATGTGCCTGCAGTACTTGTCATTTACTGATCCTGAGACAGTTGTGAGCGTGACCAGTCAGCTATGGTTCTCTCTGAATGTGGACTAACATTATGTGAAGGTCTCATCTTCAAATGACGTTCCTTAATGACTCTTAGGTAGTTACAATCTTACATATTAAGCTGTAAACAGTCGGTCTGCATTATGTACAATGGTCAGAAATACACTAAGAATGTGTATGCTGTCTCCATCCCTCCATGTTTTAACAGTTAGGATGTGGCCGTTTACTGATGCATACTGCTCTTTTCCATGTAAAATAAATCTAATGAAATGCTGCATTCATAATAAGCAATGGGATCTTACACAAATAAACTATTTTCTGCCAAAGTTAGGCCATGTTCGGTTATTTCACAAGACATTTGTTTTTTCTCCTTTTCTCTGCGCTCTTCTAACTGGTTTATATATTTATATTTTAATTTTATCACATTTTTTGGATGTTGGAACAAGAAAAGAAATAGGGTTGGCCGATTTGACTGTAATTTATAGTAATCGTAGTTTGATCCTTGATTGACTATGAAGACTTTATAATGTTCAAACCTAAAATTTAAAAAATGCTAGGGGATTCCTAAAGGTGAAAATCCTGTATAGTTTCCAACAAGAAAAGCCTTCAGTGGTGTTCTTTAATCTGATTTCAGTGAAGATACTCAAACTCTATGGGAGCCACTGTTGTTTAATAGTGTCTTTTCACTTCGTTACCCCCATCTCCCTTCAAATGAGTGCAACCCCATAAAAAGCCCCAGAGGGATGCTTTGTGACAGCAGTCTACTTGCCCTGGCTTCATTTATGAACACTTGGTCAGAGACAACACCTCAACTCTAAACAGACTCAATGACTGTTGACTTCACAAGACCACAGACTCCACTCTCTAAGGTGAGCACTTTTATTTAGTACAGTTACAACATGCAGATTTCTATCAAGTGAATCAAAGCAACAAATTAAAAATCATGCACACATTACAAAAATCAATAAAAACAGGAAAATCAGATGATAATTACTATGAAACATACCTACGTACACGAGTAAGATGAATTTGAATTGATCATAAATATTACACTGTAGAGATGATCGTCAGGGTGAATTGGAAGTCAGCACTACACATCATGGAAAGTAATACAGTGGCAAGGACACACTGCCCGGATATTATGTGGGCTTTACATTCCTGGTATATTAACATCTTACCCTAGTGCAAATATTGAAACACAGCACATGGTAGGTAAAGGTGAAACACTAAAGGAACTTCTGACAGGAAACCTCAACCATACTTAGCTTGGATAATATATTCATTTCCAAAAAATGATAAAGATGTGTGGGTATGGATTGAAATAAGAACAACAAACATTTGTAACTGCTCAGCGTCATTTAATCATCATCGGAGGAGTCTCGCTCGATGCTGTAAGCCATGAAGAAAGCGTCAGGTCGGGAGGGGACGAGGGGATGACCCGGTCTCACAATCTCAAAGCCCAGGAAACTGAATGTACGCAGCAGGGATGCTGAGAAGAGACAGGATGGAAACAGATGTGAATCTCTGTAAAGAGACCCCGAAATAGAAACAACAACATACAAAACACCACTAATTTATTTATTTAACAAAGCCTTGTTAGTACATTTATGTGGATCCTGGGAAGAGCAGCTACTCTTAGTGTTACAGTAACTAATATGGACCTAAATTAGGGTGAAATGGGGGGAGGGGGCCGTTTCCACCACATTTGTATTTTAATTCTAATTTAAGAATGTCAAATATTAATTTTTGACCAGACCCATGTACGTTGTGTATCCTGTACTGTTCCCATGGAGACCCAATCAAAAATAATAAAAAAAACATTAGACAACCTGTGTATGCAGGTACCTCCTGCCTTTACATCTGCAGGTACAAAGTCAGCATCTTATCTGCTGAGTAAAGTTCATTTGCCACTGAACATTTATTTATGGTTATGGTGTCAGAAAATGTATTGATTAAATTCATGGAAGGTCATCAGAAAATTAACTCCGACTGGTTTTGCCGTTCTGAAACGATGTCTGAAATCTATTTAATTGTAAACATTTCGAGTATATTTGACCTCCGAGGTTTGATTCTTGTTGTTTGCTATGATCTAATTTCTCGTGTTCCTAATGTTACTTCATAAAGCCCTCCTTCTCAGTTTGTACCAGAATGTTACCTCTCTGTTATTGTTCAACGTATATTTTCAGTCAGATATTTGTACTCCAGTGTATCTAAAGTAGTGCCTGTATCATCTGCCCCTCACTAGCTGCCAAATGTTTGTTTAGGTTCAGGTTTATCTCCTGAAATAACACCAAGACACTAACTCCCAAGAACAACACGTTCTAAACCCACATTAGAATGTCTGTATTAGACAACTTGTGATACTAAGTTACACTCAATTTTAATTGTTTGTTTAATTTTAATACTGTTCGCATTAATGTGCTAATTTTGCCATTTGACTCAAATGTCACAATTTATGCAGAGAACCCTTTACACAAAGCTTCTTAAAAATATACCCTCATGACGACATTTGTTTTCTTTTTCATAATGGATACAAATTAATAAATGATCAATAAAGGTTTATTTTTTTTCACATGTTCCAAACTGTTTACATTAGAGTTGTTCTGGTACCAGTATCAGAAATTCCACCGATTCTGCCTAAAACGCGATGTTGGTACCTCTGAGCACACTGTGCATCGATCCGATACCACATCATTTATTATCCCTGAAACAGGATATAGTTATAGATATATAAAGACACAAACACACAATTTTTAAACACGTGTATCTGAACAGTACTGTGTAATGCCCTATATGTAAAGCTCAGGTATTGAAATCAGGAAGAAGAAAAATTGTATCAGAACATCGCAAGTTTACATTTAAATTGCTTAAATTGTTTTTCAGTTTAAGACAGCCGGACAAAAAAAAAAGTCTCACCTCTATCGTCACGGCTCTTGTGAAAACATATGAACACGTGATCGCCCTGCAGCTGCTCTTCTGCAAATTCCAGCAGAAGGGCGAAACTGTAAAGAAACAAAACAAAGTGTTAATGTATTATAGGAGGTGTGTTAATGAATTTCAGAAGAAAATAATTATTCATAACGGTCTAAGTACATTTCAACGACCCACACTACTGCACAAAAGCAAATATTAATAAGATTAGCTAAATGTTTGCGGAATATAACTTCATGTGTTTTATTTGCAATGAATTAATAATGTATCTTATGTTTAATTTCAATCAAACTGAGAGAAGATTTTTCTTCTAATCGCTGATTAATTTTTGCCTGCTGACCTGTCTTTGCTGCCCTCGGGCAAAGCTCCAGGAGGTATTTCAACATAAAGGTTCCCTCCTTTCAGCGCTGCCCTCCAGACACAGTGCTTGCCTTCAGAGCGACGGGGCTCAAAGACCAAGAACCGTACTCTGCCGTTGGCAGGGGGAGGCTCCTCAAGAACTAGCAACTGAGCATCCTAGAGGACAGACAGGAAAAGTGTGACACAAGAGAAATACATTCAGTTCAGATAACATCACAAATAAAGTGACAATATCAGGAGGAATAAATGCAGTAATGATTCAGAAAAAAACTTCTGCGACTATTCAAATTAACTAAGCACTGAAAAGTAAAAGTACGATGACAATAACAAAAACAATTTAGAGCGGTCTGAGGCAACTGTTAAGACTTAGTTCTGATCCAGATCATGTGAGGAACAGCAACTGCAGCTGTGCCAAATACGAAGCAGTAAAGATAAAAAGGCAAGTGTAGTTCAGCCACAGTTTGTGTGTTTCGTCAGAGATGGTGAGCTTAGGTCAAACGCACACACGCCTGTGAGGTCACTGATCATTATCAAGCACGTCTTGATCAGCAATCTTGTGGTTTGACCAGCGAATGTGCTGATTTGTCAATCTGACCAACATTACGAAGGAAGTTACGTGTCTCACAGTTACAATCAGTTGTTATGATTAGATAGCCTGTGATTATCTGCAGCAGGGCAACATCTCAACCAAACAATGACATAATTAGCCTGACTGAGGTCAAAGAGTGATACGATTCAAAACTGCTGAACTGCAAACTGCCTTTTTGTTTGTGTCTCTCCCAGTCGCTAAGTTGTTGTACTTGTTTTTATGGCCTGAGGTGGGTCCACGCTGCATTATCCCTGATCAAAAACACCATCCTACTAAAAGTCTTATTGCTGTAAATAAATATTTTAAAAAGTAGTTTAACTTACAGAATAGAATAGCTTAGCTGAAAGATTGCGATCCCGCTGGTCATTCCCTCGCCCACCTGGGATCTTCAGGGGTGGGAGAGGGGCATCAGGAGCACCACAGAGGCCCCGGACACGGGTTACTGCAACAGCGGGAGCACCTCCTGGGATTGGAGATACTGAAAGACGAAACAAACGCACACACAGACGGAGCCATAGTTACGTGGGGTATTCACTGGAGGCTCTGTTACCAAACTCCCAATATAAACAGCAGACGTAGAATACATTACACTGTTGAATGATTCATCAGTAAAACAGTTGCTAAAGTTGAAGGCTGCGGGGGGCACAGCTCAATCAGTAACTGTCCTCACCTAAGGCGTGACGTTTGTATGTTTCGGCTGATAGACATTTGACTTGTGCAAGTTAAATTAACAGACAGGAAGCAGGAGCAGTTCGTTACATCACTGATGAGTCAACAAAAACAAAATGTCACAATTTAGGACGTCAACTTTCAAATATTCACTACAACCCCTACAGAGAAATTGTTTCCATTTAACAGACACGTCATGATTCTCATCCTCATTCCCTGTGGAAAAATGAATTGCTCACGTAGGAAGAGAGATGTTTGACTTTCTAAAACAGATTTGTGTGTCTGGGTATTTGTGGGATAACTTTAAGCTTGTCACGTGATTTTTAGGCGACGGCTGCCAGAGGAAGAGGCTCTGTTTGTCTAACCATTAGCCTACTTTAGTCCTGCATTAACCGTGCTGCTCCAGTTTACAACAGAGAGGGACAAAAAACTGTTTAGTGAGGGAGATCAGCCATTTTATTTCAGCCCAAGCGTTCTATAGAATTAGCTTGGCTCTGTGTATGCGGCTGCATACATTTACAGGGTTGAGTGTAAGCCTATCCTCACAGCTCTTATCGGGAACACAACCCATTAGGAGCAGCAGCGCTGCCACAGCAACGCACAGGCTCAGGCGCTCACAGATGCTCTCTTACGCAAATGCCACTGCTGTGCTATATGTGGAGCAGAAGCGTGAAAACCCAGTGAAAACCCATTGTGATTGCCGTAACTCCAGCCATCCGAGTCATTACGCAATGTGCAATCTATTGTCTGATCTTATGAGGGAAACTAACACGGGTC